GGTGGCTGACCTCTGCGATCTGCTCCTCGGCTGTGCTCTCCTCTGCAGTCAGATCAATCACTCCCTTGCTGAGATTCTCCAGAGTGGCCTCCTTTCCAGTCTGTTCCAAATCCACCACAGCTGGAGGCCAGGCCAGGCTCGTGTCCTGCTTCGGATATGAAGGACGTGGTTTCTTCTCACGGGACCGCTCCCGGCTGCTGTCCCCTGCTGGGTATCGGAGCCATGCCGGCTCCGTGCTGGACACCATGCTCTCTGCCAGCTGCATCTGCAGCTCAGACTCCGCCTTCATGAGCTCCTGAGCCTTCTGGACCCGCCCTTCGATGTAATGATGCTCCTCTTGGTTCTCGAGGGCCTCGTCGTGGTTGATGTCAAGCGTAAACATGAGGTCATGGTCAGAAATCCCAAACATCTCCATGGTGTGGAGGTGTGCGATATGTTTGTCTAGCTCAGGGTCGGTGCGCCGGTGCCTGGCGTGCAGCGCCTGAAGCTGGAGCTGCGTAGAGGAGGACTGCGTGTCCTCCAAGGTGAAGAGCTCCTTCAACTCCTGTTTGCTGAAGTACCGAAACGGGTTCTTCTTGTCCCCGGTATTCTGCCGAATAAGAGAGTCTTTGAAAACCTGCCGGCGGTAAATCTTCTCCTCCACGGTGCCGCAGGTGATCAGCCTGTAGATGACGACATTTTCAGTCTGGCCTATGCGGTACGCCCTGTCAACGGCCTGGGCGTCTGTCGCAGGGTTCCAGCTGGGGTCGTAGATGACCACCCTGTCGGCTGCCGTTAAGGTGATGCCGACTCCACCGACCTGGGTGGTGAGGAGGAAGACGGAGTAGCGTCTGTCAGTCTGGAACAGAGAGATGAGCCTCTCTCGCTCTGTGATCTGAGTGATGGTTCCATCGAGCCGCAGCACTTTGAAGCCTCTGTTGCCCAGGATGCGCTCGATGATGTCGAGCACCTTCCTGTAATGGGCGAAGACGAGGGTGCGGTGGCCTTCCTGTCTGAGCCGATCTAGGAGAGAGAAAAGAAAGACCATCTTCCCAGACTCTGAGATCAAGGTGTGATCAGGAACGCTGATGATGCTGTGATCGTTGGCCTCTGTGGACTCCTGGCACTCAGCTGCACTCTCCTCCAAGCCTAACTTGGCGATGGCGGCAGCAGAGAGGAGCCTCGGGTGGTCGCACAGCTTTTTCAGAATGTTTAACTCAGCTAGAGGCGATCGGGTGGTCAGCAGGAGCTCTCTGATGTGGTCCAGCGATATGAACTGCCTGTAGATGTCCTCCTGAACGGCACTCAGGTAAGTCCAGACGATCAGGTCGTTCTTTCTCGTCAATTTGGGCATCACCGCTCCAGAGTCTGCTTCAAGGTTCGGAACATGGTCCTCCAAGTGTTCCTTGTTACGTGTGCTGTTTGTTTTGTTTTTCTGTACTTCGGACTTGGTCCTGCGCAGGAAATACGGTTTTATTATTGCCATCAGGTTCTCTGACATCCGGGACCCCAGCGCCTTTTCTCCTGGAGTGGCGTCCTTCTCCCGGGCCCGGGTGATGGGGTTCTCGTACTCCGCTTTGAATGTTTTGGCCATGCCGAGGAGGGTGCCCTGACAGGCAAAGTCGAAGAGAGCCCACATTTCTCTCAGGTTGTTCTGGACCGGAGTTCCTGTGAGTAGGACTCGGTTCTTGGACGGTATGGCGTAGGCACTTTTGGCGGTTTTGGTGGTTGTGCTTTTTATCTTGTGAGCCTCGTCCAGGATCATGTAGTCCCATGTGAACTCTCTGCCATTGTAGGTGGACAGCTGCTGCCAGTTGTTTAAGAGCATCGTGTAGGTGGTGATGATGACGCCGCCCCTCCTCTGAAC